AGGAGGTGAGGAAGTAAAGACCTAGAAGGAGATGATTAGGGAATCACAGAAAAGTCAATAAGCAGGATCTAGTAAGGGGAAATGGTAAGGAAGCTTATGGAAGGCTGTAGGCTCTGCAGCTGATGGTGAGTCTGAAGCTGCTGTAGTCAGCAGGACAAGCAGTCAGGAAGAAAAGGTAGATGCAAATTGGAGGAAAGCAAGGTCAAATTGGAACCTGTACCTGACTCTCACTACATCTAACCCCCATAATGAAGGTGACTTGCAGAAGAAGCTGGTACCCTCCACTGTGGAGGTGCACACACGCCTGGCCTAGGATTCAGAGAGGCTGAAGTTGTTAATCCAGTGAGCCCAGCTGCTGCCACACACCAAGAAAGCGAGCCACGGATCTGCCATCTGCACACGACCTTCCAGCAGATCAGCAATAATGTGCATGACCTTCGAAGTGCAGCAGATGCTGCTATGCTTCAGCCTGCCAGCTCTCACCCATTATCACTCTACTGCTCAACCCTAATCCAGAACCGCAGAAGCAAGGAAATTCTTTGAAACAGAATTCCAACATAGCTAAATTGGCACAATGCAAAAGCAACCCCATGAATGAGTAAGTCTATTTTTTCCTATTTCAGTTTTTTTTCTTTCTGTGATATGTTTCTACTAATTATGAACTGCATCAAAGAGCCACTATAGACAAAATAGCAAGATTACTCCCCATACGGGCAATATACCTTTGTGTGCAGATAAAATCAGAGATTCAGATTTCTAACTCCCAAATCAGATAGGGCCCAATGTTGGTTTGGATTCGTAATTCCACTGCATTTTAGCCCAAAAGTTATGTTTCTCTAATAAAAAGATTAGCTATGCACCATCTCACAACCTTAAAAACCACCAGGAGTAAATGTCCTTCATTTTCCAGCAGCAAAGGGGGAAAAAGTAAGAAGTTAGGTTTAGAGCTATAGAGAAGCCAATTTAAATCTTTATCTTCACCCCTGTAATTAAAAAGTCCACCTTCTTTTATATATACTTATTTACTGTAACTTAACTTCATTATTGTAAAATATATTATTTCATTTTAAATGTTGAAGTCTTTTAAATACAGAAGACTCGAAAATAGATGACAGCTTCTTTCTTCAAGCACATTAAACTCTTATCTCTATTTGATTTTTCAAAATTGTGAGGCACCCCCCCTCCCCCCTCGGATGTGGCTCGAGCTGAAGGCGCGCGGAGCCGGAGACGCCGCAGACCCGCAACCCGGAGCAGCTCGGAGGCGGTGAAGTCGGTGGCTTGCTGTCTGTCTAGATCTCATTCGGTGGTGGTACCTAAGATACTACATGCGTTCTGGGGACCCCTCAGTTCCCCGCTTCCCGCCCCTCCGCGCCGGAGTCCTCGTGGAGAGCTGCAGGGAGGAGTGAGCAGCGAGCGGAGGCCCCGCGGCGGGCCTGGCTCTGGGCCGGCGCCTGTAGTTAGTTGGGGAAACGACACTGCCTTCGAGAGTCGGGAGCTGTGGCCACAGCCGCCTAATTTGTAGACGAAGCGCATTTTCTTCTCCCCTTCCCCCCATGCCAGATCAAGATGAGGGGCTCTCCTCCCCGCCCGCCACGCCGGGTTGGGTGGGCGACTTGGGCCTCCAGGGAGGGCGGTGTTTTTTCCCGCAGCCGCGAGGCCTGGCGTCGCGTGCGGCCCGCTGTCCCGAGGTTGCGACGGGCGCTCCGTTACGTGGCCGCCGCCGGGGGGAGGCGCGGGCCCGGTGGCGCAGTGCCCTTGAGTCCCGGCGCCGCGGCCTTTGTTTCTCCCCGCGGACACGCTGACCACGAGGCCCGCGCTCCCGGGTGGTGGGCGGGCGCCTAGGCCTCAGGACGCTGGAACTAACGCGGACAGGAGGGGCCTGGGGTTTAGGGGGAGCGAGTGTGTAAGAGGATCTCGTTTTAAAGCGTCAGGAAATGGGGCTAAAGCACCTGGGTGTGTTTTCCTTTTAGTTTTTTAACTACTGATTGGAAAGAGGGACAGTTTCTGAGTAGAAATTAAGTTGGGATTATATAGGAGACTCTTTGGACTCTGCAGAGGTCTAGAGAAAAAATTCACCGTAATTTACTATTGTGAATTGTTTGGCGAATTGTGCCTGATTTGGAATCGAGTGGTTCTTTTAAAAAAAAAAGCTGAATGTTTAATATTTATTGTAAATGGGATTTAGAGTGCAGAAAATATTTGTCCAGTATTTTTCGCCCTGTAAAGCTAAGTTACCTATGTCCCCAGTAAGGTCTTTCTATACTCACTTCGTTAGAACACTGGTGTACTCAGGCATGTATCACAAATAACTTAGGAGCTCAAACCTGCTTCTCTGGATTTGTATCCATGTTTGAAATGTGCGCTAACTACATGGGGGTTGGGAACCAAACAAAACTTGTATTAGGTGCCTTTTTTGTGTCATGCAAACTTCCTTTTAACTATCATGCATTTTTTTAGCAATAGCTCTTCAAGTCTTCAATAAAAAATGGCCTCCAATAAAACTACATTGGTAAGTTAACGAAGACGTAAATACTAAGGATCTAACTCAAGTTTTTTTCCCCCAAAATTATTAACTTTGCATCTTTGTGGTTTAAAAATTTACATCCATATATTTCCCAGCTCCCCCCAATATTATTATGGCGGAGAATTAGGGACAAAAACGAAGTCATTGTAACAATGTGATACCTTATTAACTTGGCTTAACAGTATCTTCATAATTATTAGTTGTTAGTAATTTGTTTAGAGAAGACTAATATTAGGAGGACAGCACAATATGAATTCTGAGTATTTTTATCTTGAAATAAAAATACACAAATTTATATATGTGGAAGAATTTGTTACACAAAGCGATAAAGACCTCATTTATTGGCATGGTACTCCTTAAATCTGTACTGAGTTCCAGAGAAGTCAAATATTTTCATTGGTGCGCAGTTTAAAGAGCCAGGTACCTTGTGCACCTAAAGTAGAACAAAAGTTGTTGAATCTTTGAAATTACTTTGGTCACTTTGTCCTGTTTTCAACTTGCTTACTCTAAAATGCAGAAGGATCTGAAATTTAAATCATTGCAGTGTTTTTTTAAACACAAAATGAGCAAAATCACAGATATGTCCAAGAAGAAGATTAGATCTTCTGTATCTTTTAAGCAACTTTTTTCTTTCCAGCAGTTTCTTAAACACAAAGTTTATATACTTAGGAATCATAACAAGTTTATAAACGTTTGTATAAACGTATGAAGACACGTATGAGTATATTTAGCCATGTCAAGTTACAAGTTTAAAAAAAAAGAAGACTGGAATATTCGCATAAAAATCACAAAATTCTTAGTTATGGTTCCCACAGTATTTAGTTCTAACACATTGTGTTAATAATAATTTTAAGCAGCATGTAAATGTGAGTGTTAACATCTAAGTAAAGCAAAAACATTTGGTTTTGTTGTGTACATTCTCTCCTTGGGTTTCACACTAAAAATGGCAAATCGGTGAGTTAATTTTTGCCACCATTACATTAAACATTAAGGCAAATACTCTGGAAAAAAGATTGAGATGTGAAATATAAGGTCTGTCTGGTGAGTCTCTGCTACAAATGAATCTCATATACATATAGGTCAAAGCTATTAATGGGAAAAGCATATGGAGCATCTTGCGTGCCTTCTCAGGATTGAACTGACCTTCAGATTCCATAATCAATGAACCAAAGTGTAGATAATTTAATTGGCTTTTCCTTCAAGTATTGCATGGGAAAGGAATGAGCTGACCATGAGGCTTTGAGGATGAATATAGTTACAGAGAGCAGATATGCTCCCATTAAATTTGTTTTTGGGCAGAATTTGGTAGTTTGGTGTCTGTAATTTATTGGTATTTAAACCTTTTCTCCTTTTGTGAAGGTTCACAAAAACTTCATTTTAAAATAATCTTATTAGTTTTGTGAGATATGTGTGCTGTAATTTAAATGTATAAGTGAGTGAATTTAAGTAATGAGAAATGCATTTTGACTCCAAAGTCTACCCCACACTTGGAAAAAACTGGCGGCTTAAGCCAAAAACTTGTATATACTTTTAAGAGAAAAAGATGAGCACTTGAGATGAGCTTATGCCATGGTAGTCAATACTGTATGCCATTTTGTCTGCCATTTTTTTTAATCTTAGTATATATCTTTTTAATTTTCTGTATTTATTTTTGATGTTCCCTTTATTTTGTTCTCCTCCTTTCATGAACAGTAGCTGTTTTGTTTTTCATTTATGATCAGTATCATATTTTTATCTTTATTTTGGTGACTGGCCTGTAGGGAGATCCGAACCCATGACCTTGGTGTTATAAGGCTGCACACTGACCAACTGAGCTAATCAGCTGGCCCTATGATCAGTGTCTAATAAATAAACTTTTGTCTATTCCAATTTCTTTTTGCTTCTCCCAGTATCATTTTTACCTTCCTTGTACTGTATGTACAGAGGCAGAAAGCTATTTGGGCCAAGTATTCAAATACCTTGGCAATGAGAATCTTGAGGCCTGACTGGCAAATATTTTAGTACCCAACAAAATCAGATGTTTGCTGCATTTTTTTAAGTTCTGGGGATTTTTACTTATATATGTGTACACTAATATATAATTGCATAGCTTTAAACGTTCTTTTGCAGTCTTGAGGCATTGCTGTTACTTTTTCTGCTTGCATGCTTTAATTGTGGGATGGCTTTAGTAACTGGGCAATTGTTTTTTTAGTTTTTTTTTTTAATGCCACTTGTTTTAAGATGACATGACTTTAAAATGCACGTTACATTAGGGATTTTCCCCCCTTAGTATCTTCTAGTTAACTTCTTCAGGTTTTTTAAAAATTTATACATTTTTAATCCTCCTATAACAAATTCTTTTGAGTAATTGAAAATGGCTGGTTGAGTTTGGGCTCCTGCTTTTCTTCAGTAGTGTTATACCAAAAAAAAAAAAAAAAAACAGTTTAAAGTGAATTTGGTTAGCTACCAGTTTAAAGTCTTTCTCTTGAGAAACCAGTAAAGGAAGATTATTTTTCACATTAGAGAATTAAAATGAATCTGGCCTTTGGCTTCTTGAGTTGTCACTATAGGTTTGTTTGCATTATAGGTTTGTTCCAAGTGGTCAGGAATATTAGCTACAGAGATTATGTGAAAAATAATCTCATGCTTTTTTATGTACTAATAGTCTCCTTGGTTGACCCTGCAGTTGATATCAGGATTCTGAACATGTTTTCATTCTGCAGTTTACCTCTTCTCTATACTGTTGAAACTTTTAATATTGGCGTTTAAATTAGGAAAGGGTTTTTTTGTTTGGTTGGTTGTTTTTTTTTTTTTTTTTTTTTTTTTTTAGGAAAGGGGGTTTTAACTGTCTTGGGGCTACCATTTTAACAGGTCTGTCACCTATTCAGACCTGTCACTACTAACTCTCTTCTCTGTCATCCAAAATACTTTCTAGTTGTTCATGGCTTGTGTTCTGGTTAATATGAGTAAATGCTCTAGTAGACTTGATCTGGTATAGACTAACTATATACAAGACTGGGAAAGATAAATATTTTCCAGATAGTGTTTCTGATTGTAATTTGGTATCATTTCAGCTCATAAGTTCCAGCTAAATTCACAGAATAAAGCATTCCTTTATTGTGTGTTGACTTTTATCTTTTCAGAGGGTATCTGCTCTGGGCTATAGAAGTAAAAATTTGTGTTGAATTTAACAAGAATTTAAGCAGTGTACTCAAAGTTCAAAAAAGAATATATTTTGTAATTTCTCTTTTGTTTTAGCAAAAAATGGGAAAGAAACAGAATGGAAAAAGTAAAAAAGTCGAAGAGGCAGAGCCTGAAGAATTTGTGGTGGAAAAAGTACTGGACCGACGTGTAGTGAATGGGAAGGTGGAGTATTTCCTCAAGTGGAAGGGATTTACAGAGTAAGAAACGTCTTTTTTATTGTATGTTTAAGTACAGTTAAGTGGCTTTAAATTTTGTTTTTAGCCTGCATCTCATAATCAGTTTTCTCATAGGTCTCTTTAAATTTAAAGACACCCTTAATTCCAGGGAATCTTGCTTGAGATCTTTTTAAAAAGAGCCAAGTCTTTAGTAGCCTGTGGTTGAAACTAAGCAGATTGGAGGCTAGTTTATTACCCTGGAGAGTCAAATTTATAAAATTATAAGGGGTAATTTACTATGTAATGCAATTTAATGTAGTTAAATATTGTACTGATTAGAATATCTAATATACATTGTTTCCTTCCATACAGAGGGAACTAAACACTGAAGGTACACTGTAAAAAACAATGAAGCACCACGGTATAGTGGTTTTAAACAGAAGTGTTCATCATAATCTACGTCCTGTACTAGTTTTATTTTATCCTAATCTCTAAGAAGTAGAACCTGGGCATTTTTTAAGCTCCTGATTATTCATGTTCCTTGTTATAGATGGTGTTAGCTGTCTTGTGAATAATAAACATGCAGAAATTATACTCAACACTGTTTATTGTGCTAATCTACTTTATTCTTTTACCTCACACCACAAAATCAGGAAATAAAACTTCATGAGCAATGACAATTAAAAATAGATAGGTGAAGATCAACAGTTACCTGAGGGTGGTGGAGATGGGGCATATGTAGTCAAATGATTAGGCTTTAGATATCTATCTACTTCTTCCCTCAACATTTACATATGAAGCCACCTATATAGCAATTTGGGAATTATGAGTTGAATGGGAGTTTAGGTTTTTATGTTTTATCTTTCAGTATCTCCTTAAGTAAGCCTAAGTATATATCATAAATTTATAATTTACCACTAAAAGAATTACCTGAGTAGAGCAGAACTAAGAAAAATGTCTGTGAGCTACAGTCATGCATCGCATAACAGCATTTTGGTCAGGGGTGGATTGTATATACAACAGTGATTTAAAATTAGATTTAACCAGTTTGCCAAAGAGTTGATTACCTTCAAATGGTGGACAATTTTTTTTTTTTTTTTTGGAATCCCACGAGACTTGAAAAGCTGTTTGTCTCTATGTTCTACCCATTAAAACATTAGGAAATGAGTGGACTTTTCTCCCCAAACTTGAGGCCACTAACATGATTGAGAACCTATCTTGTGCAGTGTTACGTATTAGGAAAATGTAGAAGGCTATAATAAAAATAGCACTACAGAATGGAGATTCTTTTATCCTCCTCCATCCATTAATTTAGGTTTGCCAATTTTGGAGTCTCAGAATATCAACAGACCAAGTTGTTAAGTGTAAGGTTTTAATAGCACCTTTCCCAGCAGCCCTAAAATGACTAATTTCATTCCATGTAGTTGAAGGCTTTTTGGACCTGAGCATGAAAAGTTAGCAAGCCTATCCCTACTGTGGGAAGATCTTAGTTTCACATTTGTTAATCAGTAATCATTTTCTTCTTTACAGCCCATCTGAAAAACACATGGAAATGGTCATCTCAGCCTTACGTTATATCAGGGGTCAGAATCTTTTTCCCTAAAGCTTCATACAGTAACTATTTTAGATTTTGTCGGCCATAGGTGTCTCTCTCTACCATATCTCTGCAGATGTAGTACAAAAGCAGCAACATAATGTTAAACAAATGAGCATGGCTGTGTTCCAATGACACTTCATTTAGGGGCCCTGAAATTCAAATTTTGTGTCATTTTCATTTTGAGATTTTTTTTCTAACCATTTAAAAACTTAAAAAACATTTGTAGTTTGCAGGCCATACAAAAGGCTACATTTTGGCTTTTGGTTTGTCACCCCCTGCTTTATATCAGTTCCCAGTTTGAACACCCAGCAGAATTTGAAAACATTGTCTCACATTTAAGAATGCCTCAGAATGGGGCCGGCCTGTGGCTCACTCGGGAGAATGCGGTGCTGATAACACCAAGGCCACGGGTTCGGATCCCATATAGGGATGGCCGGTTTGCTCACTGGGTGAGCGTGGTGCTGACACCACCAAGTCAAGGATTAAGCTCCCCTTACCGGTCATCTTTTTTAAAAAAAAAAAGAATGCCTCAGGATCATGTTTTAAAACACAGTATTGGAGGTCCCAACTCTAGGCATGATATGATATAGTAATTTGGGGTGGGAATTAGGAATCTGCCTTTTTTAAAAGCCCTTCCAGAAAATTCTAAAGTGGGTTGTCTGTAAACTTGGAGAAATATTAGCTTCAATTACACCGTTGGAGTCAAGTTCAGTTAACTTGAATATAAAATAGCAGGTTGCTCACTTGGGCCTATGAAAGCAGACACAAGAGGAAATCTAGACAGATTCTCTCAAAAGAGTGTAGGGGATAGGGAGGAAATGATTAGTACCTGCAGGATAGAGGACTTTCTTTTCAGATATCTGTTAAATGGATCCAGATGATGGTGATGAACCCATGTTTAATAGAATCAACATTATTTTTTTACTGAACACAGTGCTGACAATACTTGGGAACCTGAAGAAAATTTAGATTGTCCAGAGTTAATTGAAGCATTTCTTAATTCTCAAAAAGCTGGTAAAGAGAAAGACGGTACAAAAAGAAAATCTTTATCGGACAGTGAATCGGATGATAGCAAGTCAAAGAAGAAAAGAGATGCTGTAAGTATAAAACATTACCCACTCAACTGGCTTTTTGTAAAAGGTTGATGACTTCGTTTTTAAATACTCTTAAGATATTTCTTAAAACTCAGAGATACTTTTAAAATATCAGTACGAAGCCTTTTATAAATGCTTAATATTTAGGTCAAAAAGGATAGGCATGGTTTAGCCTATCTTATGTAAATGTGTAGTAAGTGCTTATGCCACTCAAAATGTGCTAGTGCTATTTTTGGTATATTCATGGATTTGATGCCTGATCAGACCAGTACCTGTGATCCAAAGCTAGCAGGCTTAAATACAATAATGTGTCACTCAACGACAAAAATATGTTCCGAGGAATGCATCATTAGGCAATTTTGTTGTTGTGCAAACATCAGAGAATGTACTTATGCAAACCTAGGTGGTATATCCTATGGCTCGTAGGCTACAAACTTGTACAGTATGTTACTGTATACTGTAGGCAGTCATAAGAATTTGTATATTTAAACATAGAAAAGATAAGTAAAAATACAGTATAAAAGATTTAAGGTGGTACACCTGTACAGGGCATTTACCATGAATGGAGCTTGTAGGACTGGAAGTTGTTCTGGGTGAGTCAGTGAGTGAATGTGAAGGCCTAGGACATGAATGTACCCTACTGTAGACTTTATAGAAAACACTGTACATTTAGGCTACACTAAATTTATTTTAAAAACTAATTGTGCTACAACATTACAGTGACACTAGGCAATATGAATTTTTCAGCTTCCTTATAATCTTATAGGACTGCATTTGTACATGAGGTCCATTGTTGACCGAAACGTCATTATGCGGCCCATGACTATACAAACAGTGCTAAGATCAGATCATTGAAAGCCTTTACACTACAATGAAAACAATCCAGATAACATCTTGATTGTAGTTCATTAGTGGCATTAACTACCAGAAAGTACTTTTGCGTGTGATCTCTATTACCAAACAGTACTTTGGTTTTGAAGTATATAATCTTTGATAATAAAAATTGCTTTGGGCCGGCCCGGTGGCACACTGCTACAGTGCGCTGCTTGGGAGTGCAGCGGCGCTCCCGCCGAGGGTTCGGATCCCACATACAGACCAGCCGCTCACTGGCTGAGTGAGGTGCGGGCGCAACACCGAGGGTTGCGATCCCATTGCCAGTCCCGGTCCGGTACGGGCGTGACACTGAGGGTTGCGATCCATTGCCGGTCACGAAAAAAGACAAAAAGGAAAAAAAAAATTGCTTTATGTTTTATTGGCTTGAATTCAAGACATTTGGTTTATTCACTACCCGTGTACTTTGGTTCAGTATTTGCTTCACTAATATGTCTGTGGCTTTGGGCAAAATTACGTAACTTCTTTTTTGTACCCTTGACCTAGCATGGCAATTTGGGGAATGGTCTTGATGCTGAATTAGTTTCTAGGCTTGAGCACTACGTGTACAATACAGATTAATTAGTAAAGACTTTGGATTTTGATCATTTGAACTAGATGCCAGGAACTTTAGATAGTCCATTAAATCTTCATGACTCAATAGAGTTATAGATATTTGCATTTTATAGAAAACAAATCACAAGTTCAATAGAAGCACAACTTTAATAACAATGTTTAGCCTATATTGAGCCCTTACTGTGCACCAAGCTGTATTATAAATAACTTAATTTGCATTTCACATACAATGAAATAGGTACTATAATTATTTCTGTCTTATTGATAGTGAACCTGAACCACAAAGAGGTTAACTTGCCCAAAGCCACATAGCCAATAAGCGATAGATCCATCATTCTACACCAGGCACTCTGGGCATTTATATAAAACTCTGGTTGGAATAAAGGATCTATTGATATCATCAGTTTTCAAACTTTTTTGGTCTCAGAAAATTATTGAGGATCCCAAAGAGCTTTTGTTTATATGGGCTATAATTATCAATATTTTTTGTATTAGAAATGAAAACAAATTTCTATATGTGTGTATTTCTTTAAAAATAACAATAAAAACCTATTTCATGTTAAACATAACTTTTTATGAAAAACATTTCCAAAACAAATTGAGAAAAGAGTGGTGTTTTACATTTTGCAAATCTTTAATGTCTGGCTTAACAGAAGACAGCTCTATTTCAGCATTTGATTGCTGTGGTATGTTGTTTTGGTGGACAATCCAAAGTCACAGATAACATGAAAAGAGGGGACCTGCAGAACTCCTTTCAGAAAAGATCTCAGGGACCCCTAAGGGTCTTCAGACCACACTCTGAGAACCACTGGTTTATACTAAGTACTTTCTAAGATTTCCTGTAATTAAATTTTCTGTAATTCAGACTAATTACAATGTGAGTTAGTCTGAGTTTTAAAGTTTTTCCTGTTTGTATTTTATTTATGCTTTTAAAATGTGGTTAATTTAGACTAATATAAAGACGTGATTTGAAATATTAACTTGCAAGAGTTTACAGTTATTATTGTTACCAGAAATAAAAGGATTAGTTTTTTTCTCTTTATCCACATGGTTCTGCCCTTAATGTCTTTGGAGGTAGAAAGTTTTTGTTTTCTTGACTTTTCATTCAGAATATTTTTAGAAATTTAAGCATTCTACATTGGATATCAGACATCCTGATTTGTTTTTTCTGCTTGTAAAATTAGTGAATATTACATGTTTTAGTACCAAATATAGGCTTTTGCTCTAATCATTTTTGTTTCGGTATTGGAAAGTTTTTATTTGAGAACTATATGTCATAAAAATAAATCAGAAGTTAATATTCTTAGTTTGCTTTATGGGAAAATGTATGGAAACATTTATGTAGGTAATTACTTAACCTCTTCTAAACAGGCTGACAAACCAAGAGGCTTTGCCAGAGGCCTTGATCCTGAAAGAATAATTGGTGCCACAGACAGCAGTGGAGAACTGATGTTTCTCATGAAATGGTAAGCATATAGGTGATTGTTATATTTTAAAGTAAGAATAAATAGACATGTTTTTTTAAAAATTGTGAAGCCTTATCTAGGAAAGGCTTCATGAATAGTTTCTATGATTAGATAGTGATTATCTATTAAAAGGATGATTCTGGTTACTTTTGCTAATGATGTTTGTTAAAGCAATGGTCATCAAACTATGACCTGTTTTGGAAAATGAAGTTTATTGGAAAATAGTCACAACTACCATATAACCCTCCCAAAGCACTTAAATACCTTTTGTTTGAATTATTTGTTTTGGGTTTTTTTGTTTGCTTTTTCCTTCAGTAATATTTTTTCCTGCAGTAAATAATAACTCAGTCAGGGCTGGCCAGTACAGGGATGGAACCCTGGGCCTCTACAGCGTGCTATAACCAACTGAGCTAACCGGCCAGCCCTGACTGAATTATTATTTCTTGAATAATTTTCAGTTAACATAAACAATGTAGACAACTGAAATTTTTTTTCCTCTCACAACAGGAAAGATTCAGATGAGGCAGACTTGGTGCTGGCAAAAGAGGCAAATATGAAGTGTCCTCAAATTGTAATTGCTTTTTATGAAGAGAGACTAACTTGGCATTCTTGTCCAGAAGATGAAGCTCAATAATTGTTTGCATTGCTTTTTATATATATTTATATATATATATAAAATCTGGGTCTTAGTTTTTGATTTACTAGTGTGAAGAAATAACTACATTCTAATGAAAATCAAGTTTGATGTGTTTGTTTTGAAAGTAGTATTGGGGGAGTTGTTGAGTTCTTTTGCATCAATAGCACTGGTTACTTTGAACAAATAAATAAAAGCTTTCTGTAGTTGCCTCCTTTATCAGAAAAGGACATTTGATTCCATAGTATATTATTTCCTCTGCATTAGAGAACATCTTTTCTAAATGTTGGGGGAAATTTCCATAGTCATTACTCAGTCAGAACTTATGTTTAACTCATATGCCTAAGGACCATTCTGGGTTTGTTTTTTTGTGTGTGTGTATAAAAAATACATATACAAATGGCTTTTTTTGTTTATTTGCTTTTAACATTCACCAAAGCAAAAACCATGGGGTAAGCTCACATTTCTGAGATGCCATCATTCTGAACAACCTAAGAAATAAGTCACTTCAAGTTGAATTTTTTCTGAAGCCATAACCTTTCAAATTAAATAGATGATTCTGTAATTGGATAATTTAAAAGCAGATCCATATCAGAATCCATATCTATATCTATAATTTATAAGTGCAACCATTTATTTGCAAAATTCGTCACTACCAACAACCTACCCAGATGAGGAAACTGGACAAATCCTGGTGTTTTAATCAGCTAAGCAAGACTCAGTTAAAAGGACATTTAAAGATTCCTCTGGTGAGCCATTCCTTTACAAAAAGTTGAAATCCCTGTGTTGTATTGACTAAAAGTTCATGACTTATGGAATATCTAAGACTTGGCTCATGAAAACATAGTCACGCGGTTAGAGATGTTGGCACTTTAGCATCTGCTGGCATAAATGGGTAGACAAACTTGTAAACCAAACTATCAACCTGCATGGTTTTTGTTTATCCCTACTCATTCCTTACATGTAGGCTCAAATCTTGCAGTATTTGGGTTACTGGTTCAGCAGAAGCCAGGAAAACGATAACTTTGTAGTAATCAGAATGTTACCCAACTGTATATTGTTTATTGTAAATACTGGTGAGCAGTGGTCAATAAATAGTTTTATATTCCTTTATGTGATGAGACCTTTTTTTTTCTTTATCCAAGTGCCTTTTTATTGGGAATAGAAACACACACTTCATTGCATTGTCTTGATATTTCTAAATTGAATGATAGACATTAGAGTATATATCCTAGATACTCTGAGCTTATGAGTTTTAACTAGAGTATGTATTTCCATAAAAATGTCTTTAGTGGGAGGTAAAAATTAGTTTCATGTGATCCCATAAGGAATTTGCCTCATTGAAGTGAAATTTTACACTTAAGAATCCAGCTCGTAACTGCCCTCTGAAAAACAAGTATTTTGATAGGAATAATTCTGTTGATAGATACATTTCTGCTGATTTCCATAATCCATACAAGAAAGGGAAGTTGTATCTGCTTTTCACCTCCTTACAGATCTATGCTTCTCTTAACAGTAGGTTCACAGATATTTCTGTTCATGTCAGCAGTTGGGCCTGTGTTAAGTTTTAGTAAAGTCATTTCTGGAAACTGTCCATGTATTACTTTTACTATCTCAGGTGTTACATTAGTTTCCCTTTGGTGCTGTAACAAATTACCACAAACTTAATGCCTTAACACAAACTTGTTAACATTTCTGAAGGTCAGAAGTCCAAAATCAGTGACATTGAGCTAAAGTCAGGGTATCAGCAGGGTGGTTCTTTATGGAGCAATTTCCTTGTCTTTTTGTGTTTCTAAAGGCCACCTACATTCTATGGCTTCAGGCCCCTTCCATCTTCAAACCAGCAAGCAGTGTAGCACCTTCCATTCTTCCTCTTTCCATCGCTCTGTCTACCACAGGTGTGTTGTGGAAAAGATTGAGCCAAATCATTCTTTCAAGTTCTTGAATTCCTGAATCCTAGATCTTCAGCTGAAGGAAGAAAACTATTTCCCATCAATTCTGCTCTGATGTCTAGTTATGTAAGAATATGTTTGTAACAAGTCATATGATAGAGAAGTAAAGCCACCTCTTCAATCTCTTTCCCGCCATCCCAAAGTAGTTCAGTAGATGTACATTTCTTTACCTCTGTACTATTTTATACACTTAAATACTGTTGTTTTTAACAAAAATAGAATTATATGTTTTGCAATTTATTTTTCACCAAACTTAACTTGTGCCATCTTACCTAGTAAATATATTAAAATCTGTCTACCCTATCTAGTATATCTGCTCACCACTCCAGCCAAATTGCCTAGGTTGTAATCTGCCATCTATATCTTGATTTTGAACAAGTTACCTCAGTTCTCTGTGCCTCAGCTTCATCTATAAAGCATCATTTCTTCATGGGTTGCTGTTAAGGATGAAATACATGCATGTGAGACACTTAGAAAAGTGCCTTATATGTAGTAATCAGCATGTGTTTTAGGTTGAGAAAGGATAACCACCACCCCAGGAATTATCTCAAATTTTTATTTGAGTTGTTAAAAAAATTTTTTTTGGTGGTTGGCCAGTATGGGGATCCAAACCTGTGACCTTAATGTTACAAGGCTGCACTCTAACCAACTGAATTTATTAATTTTAATAGGGACGTAGAAAATGTGTGGAGGTTCCCCAACTTACAGTTGCTGGATATGAGTACTTTGGCTGATTGTAGTTTTTTGCTGCTACATTAATGGAGTGAACATTCTTAAACATTATGTATAATGACACTTGGTAGATATAGATGGATTCACAGAAGTCAGTGAAATCAAGCTTGCACTGATTTACTCCTTCATCAATAGTCATTACCTCATATTCTCACTCGTATTACAAATTAACAACATTGATCTTACTAATTTTTAGCCAATTTGATGGCATCTTGTTTTAATTTGCATGTCTAATATTTTTGTTGAGTGTTCTTTTCATGCTTAATGACTGCTATGTTTGCATTTCCTCATCTATAAATTAATTGCCAATTTTACTGTTTTTTTTCCTTGATTGGTAGGAGTTTCTTTTGTACTAAAGATATTAACACAAGTTTTTTGTGCAGAAAATATTTTCTTCCAGTGTTTGTATTTTAACATGGTCTATATCATTTTGTTGTACCAAATTTTTTTTTATGTGCTCAGCTCTGTCAGTCTCTGTCCTCTGGTGGTTCTACCTTGTTTTAAAATACCTCACATCCTGAAGATGAAGTTATACAAATATTTGAAATTTTCTTTTGTTTTCACCAAGTTATTTTTTATAGTTGGGTCTTTAATCTATCTGAGTTTTCATTGGATATCATGATGAAGGATTCTAATTTTTGTTTGTTTTCCAAAATGGACATCTACTGAGGAAGTCAGATGTGTAGATAGGAAAGTTTCCCAAATTCTACGGATCAAAGAAAATAATCATTATGCCATTGCAAAAAAAAAAAAAAAGTTGGTTAACAGATAAAACCTAAGCTTTTCCTTTTTTAAAAGGTACTAGAGGGCCGGCCCGGTGGCGCACTGGAGAGTGTGCCGCTTGGGAGCGCAGCGGCGCTCCCACCGAGGGTTCGGATCCCATGTGGAGACCGGTTCCCACTCACTGGCTGAACGCGGTGCGGGTGTGACACCGAGGGTTGCGATCCCGTTACCGGTCAGTAAAAAAGACAAAAAAAAAAGGTCCTAGAACCTGCTCAAATACCTTGACAGGTATTGACTGGTTTGTCAAGATCCCTGAGTTTAATACCATTGAGAATAAAAGGAGACACTTTGACCTGGAGTTTATTACCAATAAGCTATTTTTAGGACCTCTGAAACATTAATAGTGTGATCCCTGTCTACTTTTTTCCCCCTTCCTCTGGTTTCTTTTGTAATTGGTTAAAAAAAAAAAAAAAACCTAGATTTTCCTTATTTATAAGCAGAGATATGAGGGGCGGCCTGTGGCTCACTTGGGAGAGTGGTGCTGATAACACCAAGGCCATGGGTTCAGATCCCTATATAGGGATGGCCGGTTGGCTCACTTGGGAGAGCGTGGTGCTGACAGCACCAAGTCAGGGGCTAAGATCCCTTTACCAGTCATCTTTTAGAAAAAATAAGCAGAGATGTGGTTCTTGGTAATTCTGACGACCTGCTAACAGCCTATTTTTAAAAGGTTCATTATTGGCAGATACTGCACAGGATGCTTATTTAGTAAACACCATAGACAGTAGCAGATAACCAGAAGGAAAAGTCTAGGTGAGACTGGGCATTGGGAAATTCCAGAATGAAATTAGCAAACTGAAGAAGATACATATTGCATTCAGGATCTATGCTACTACTTAAGGCCTTTTTGGTATTTCAGTAACTAAACACCTTTGGATAGATTCCAAGATGGACGTACTTTAAAGTAAATTCATCTTTCTAGCAAATAGTGTTACAATGAAGTTCTTGTTATACCTTCTAACTTCTCTACCCTCTTTTTTTTTTTTTTTTTTTTTTTCTTTTTTTTTTTT